AACTGTTGAAGAACTCACAATTGCAATATTCGGCCTACAGTACTAGATGAGTTGTGATATGAACTAACTTATCATGAATACAAGGGAGGCAAGGAGTCCTCGAGACAGCCAGTAGAACTTTGTGCAGGTACATTTTCACCAGACCCAAACTGCCACACAAATGAACCCTAATGCTTACAACACATGTATACGTATCTACACATACTGTCCATGATAGGCCATGTGTAATTGTACCACCTCATATCGTTTGTGTTGACTCCTGGTGTCTTATTCCACACCTCCCACCACTGTAAGTTTATCTCACACTTGGTCCAGCGCGAGGGAGTGAGATAGAGTGGAAACACCTAACAACAAATGACCCCATATCCCACACGCTTCAAACAAACACCTACAACAAATGACCATATTCGCACACGCTAAACAATCTTAGGGCTGGTGTAACCCGTCCTCCTTCCAAAAAGTATGGGGCATAAGAGATTTACCTGCTTTAAGTTGAATGGGGCGACTCGAGGCCCAGATGGTGGTGATTTTAGGGTGTGGGCTGGTACAAAACAGCCGACAGACGAGGTAGCAGTTTGGGGGCTAGATCTCTGGGGGAAGAGGAGACGGTGGTGTGACTGACCGTGGCAGAGTCGTGTCAGTGGCCTCTGGACCCATCAGGAGCAGTTGTAGTGCCCGTGGAGGACACCCTGGTCGTATCTGTGGCAGTATAACATCTGGTTAAGGTAAGATTTCCTTACACTCAAGATGTTTGTCGACTCAGATTGAGTAGGATTGAAGGAGGGTGGGGGGCTTTGATGACACTTGAAACATGTTTACTCTCAAAAATCCATACACTGCATGTAATGTAACACCCAATTGTCATGTATTTTCTAAGCATTGTTAACTTCAGTAATAGGATGGGGATCATAAAAACCCGCTTTCACTGAAATTGCACCCCTTACCTTTTGTAGAAACTTCTGTATTCTGTTACTCTAATTTGGAGGGGCGGCACCCAATATTTCACTTTCTCTCTCCCTCGCTGCTGAGGTTTCTCTAGCTTGTGTCCTTTCTTTCTCTCTCCGCTTCCCTCTTCAACCTCTGGCTCTCTGGCCCTGTAGGAGGCTCTGCACTGAGAACCCTCACGATCAGACTCCCTTTCCACAGACAGAACTGCAGACACCCTATACAGAGAATACTACCTACATTAACATTATGCACTATTAAACTAGATGGATAAAAGTTATGCCGTGTGCAGTAAACGATGTGTACATGTAGATCAAGGAGGAAACGAAACAACATCTTTCAAAGATTAGACTCAAAATGCAAACCGAAAGTCCACGCTCTATACACACACTGAGCTACAAACTTCTATACAAACAAATCCTCAATTGTTTCCCCCGTCAATGTAATATCTATGTCAAACCTATGCACTATTGGGCCAAGCAAAGAGAGATTATTCTTACCGTTAGCTTTCCAATAATATCTTCAAACAGCGTCACACAAACCAAACAACAAAAACAACAAACCCAAAAACAACCACCAAAACCCAAACACCGGAAGTCACGATCTATACACGCCTGAGCACAACTTCTTACAACAAAATCCTCATTGTTTCCTACCGGTCAACTTAATATTATTGCTATGTTGTAAAATTCACTGAAGCTATTGGCTAAGACAAGAGATAATTTCTTACCGTTAGCTTCACAATATATCTCATCGTCGTCAGCTCTATCAAATCCTCATCTCTCTTTGCCCCCAGCCCAGGTGGTAACAAGAGCCACCACGGTAGATGAAGCCTCCAGCCATCAGCCACTGACGAAACGCACCCTCGCCTTCCCCAACCGACACGGCTGACAAAACACCACATACATGTAGTAACACTCTTCCTATACTACTGACGACAAACGTCTACAGTAGTGGAATTTCGTGCAAAAGCGATAGAGCGAGCGTAGCAAGCATACCGGTCCTTTGACCATAAATGCCATGGTAGAAAAATCATAGTGCACTTCAGTGTGTGCATTTCATGTTTTGCTTGTCAAAAATGATATAAAAAAGGTGCAAAAAACTAGCAGAGGATGGTTTCGATCCATCGACCTCTGGGTTATGGGCCCAGCACGCTCCCACTGCGCCACTCTGCTGACCTGCCTCAGCCACCACCACTATAACCGTACAGTGTACTAACACGTACAGTCTCGATCCGTAGGAGGTCGATAGTACACGTTGAAGATGAGAACATCGTGCCACCACTGTCTGGTCACAGGACCAGCGAGGACTCACTGCAAACACCGAGCGATGCCCAAAACGAACAACTGCATTGGAGAACACTGCCTGCTATATTATGCACATAAAATATAGTATACATTATACATACATAACTGCATAATAAGTTATACTGGAAACACAAAATTTGCCGATTTCAGTGAGGTTTGGGAATGCGTAAGTTTTCTCTGTGAATTTTCATTTCTTTGCCAAAAGTTCTCTTTATAGTCTCCCATAATGTGGTATGGTATCACGGGGTGCAAACAGAAGGTACACGTGGAAATACATAGATGATGAATACTTACGTAACTAGGCCACACCTTTATTCTTTATCTTCCTGGAGGCCACTCTCACGACCTCGTGTGGAGGGGGGAACACTACTCCCTTTCTCCCTCTCCCTCCTCGACCAGATACTGCCGCAGGGAAATGGTACTCCACGAAGAACGTCCCACTGTATGAGTAGATACATACATACATACATACATACATACACACATAGACAGAATTGCTGTACACATAAATGTGAGATTCAAGCATGAAAGCGAATGGTAAACAGAATTGCCGTGGTCTTCAAATGTGAAATTCAAGCATCAAAGAAATAATGGTAAAACAGTCTAGTTGGCAAAAGAAAAACAGTGACCAAAATAGAGGACAGAAGTTTCATTTTCATGCAGGGCAGATCAAAATAATGTTTCCCGTGTATCGTTCGCTATCCATAAACCTTTCATAGTGATTCATGCGATATATTCGGGAATAATCCATCTATAGAACACCATATCATACTACCCACATTTCCAGGAGCCTCTAAATACCATACCAGACCTGAGGGAAGTAGAGAGGGGCCCAGATTGGTACTGTCTCTTCTTCCCACTGGGTACCAGGACGGCGGCCATTTTGATCCCACTGTGTCTCAGGACGGCGGCCATTTTGAGAGGGTCTACCTCAAGAATATCTATCACCACGCGGCACGAGGTGACTCTGCCTAATAGTGTCAGTCTCTCCACTCCCACAGCCTGCATGGGTGTTCATACATTGACACTGGCTACTGGGTGTTCTGGCTACAGCCTCAGTCTACACAGGTGTCCATGCATACATTGATACTGGCTACTGGCTACAGCCTCAGTCTACACAGGTGTCCACGCATACATTGATACTGGCTACTGTGTGTTCTGGCTACAGCCTCAGTCTACACAGGTGTCCATGCATACATTGATACTGGCTACTGTGTGTTCTGGCTACAGCCTCAGTCTACACAGGTGTCCACGCATACATTGTACCAACACATGAACACTAAACACCTCACACTTTTACCTAAATAGGAGACAAAATCAGGACTGTAGTATAAGAGCTACACAGTTTGACCTGTTTGCCTATCATAAGCTATTTGTATGTCACGTAAAGGCTTGCCTGCAGGATTTCAGCATCAGTTGACTTCTGTAGCGAGTGTCCGGAGAAGAAAGAGGCAAGGGTGGAGAGACTGCCTCCGGCCTCTAACTTAGAGGAGTGGGAGGACGGAGATGGAGGAGGGGAGGAGGGACGATGGTGTAGGTCGTCCGATTGCGCGGTAGACTTGCTGCCACTGGGGAAGTCAGTAGTAGTAGGAGAGTGTGTTTGGGTTCCAAAATCTTGCGTTTTCTTCCCTGTTTCAACATCTCTCTACAACAACAGCGTACACATGGGAAGGATTACTGCATTAGCAGGCAAACACACAAGTGCAAACTTTACGTGGAGCATTTAGAGTGCCCATCGAATTGTTGTGCAAGCTTCGCCTTGCTCGCTAAAAAGGTACCCTCCAGTTACAGATAATTGTACTATAATACACACTTGAGGAGTTTAGGCTCACACTATGCAGCAGTTTCTCCAGCAGAGAAGGATCTCGCAGAGGATAATCTGATTCCTCCATTGATACATCTCCATCCTCCTCCTCTTCCTCCTCCTCACTGCTGTACACCTCTCCAACAACTCCACACAGAGGAACACGCCCCCTTTTCCTCCCTCTCTCCCTCCCTTTCTTCTTCTCGATTCCCGAGTCGAGTACAGCTCTCGCCATGGCCTCTCGAAGTCTCTCTCCTCTCTCTATCAATTCAGCAATCACCTCCTGTTGTTGTGGACCTAGAGGACGTGCTACAGCAGAACCCATCTCTCCATACACTGACTGGCCAGTTGTGCTCCCACTGCCAGTGGGAGACACAGTCATTTGTTCCTGCCCAGTAGCTGTTTCTTTCGACGTGTTAGGGTTTATGTACTTGGCAAGCAGAGCTGCTTTGTGGCTGGCAGCAGATTCAGTGTATGTCTTCGGCTCAGCGTGTCCCCTGTTAGTGTTGCGACTACTTGTAGCTCTGTGCTCTTGAGGCGGTAGTGTGTCTATTTCTGCAATCGGTTCTCGCTGTTTCTCAGTCGCGCGGTGAGCGCCGGGTCCAACTTTGAACTCTGGAGGGTGGGAGACGTCGTCCGATGCTGCTGCAGGGGTCGTCAGACGGGTTTGACCGGCTCTGGCGACCTGCAGTTCTATCTGGACCTGTAGTCTTCCCAGCCGGTGACCCTGTGTGCCTATGATGGGCAGCGAGCTGAGGGGCGAAGACAAAACACACACACATACCGTTAATGAGTGAGGGACTCCTACTCATCTCCTCACTAAACCTCATTGAACTCTACTAATGTTTATGTAAAAAAGCGCAGACTAACTTCTTTTTTGCAAACTCTGCAAAGGGAATATGCCAGTACATACTGTAAGGTTACATTTCAAAAGGGCTCATCGTAAAATGCATTACATTTAGCCCTTACTGTACATTATACTGCCACATTCCCTCTATTAAAGCTTACACTATTTCCTTCTCCTTAAATGTTCTACCTTTGTATATAGCAGGGAAAACTATAGGAGCCATTTGATACACACTACTATTTGCAAACTGCCTTTTAGTGACAATTATTGTGGTTTAGTTGTACTGTATATACTCTTCGTAGGGTTGAGACTTGGTGAGTGTTGACAGATCAGGAAGAGTGGATCGACCAATCACCATTGAGTCGTCTGTCATGTGACCCAGACCCACCCTCAACTTCAGTGACTTCATGTCTAAGGAAAACAGCAGCAAGAGCAGGTGGGAATGAGGGAGAGGAGGGGGGGAGAGAGTAAGATATCAAGAGCAATAGAATAAGACCTTGAAACCAGCTCATTGCATTTAATATGTACGTAGGCATGCGTAATTTCGCTGCACCACTCAGATGTTACTGTAAATTGGAAAACCATCCCCCTCGTGAGGGGCTGGGCTGGCTCCAGTACCAGGTGCGCCTCAAAGGACCTCTCATCCAGCCAGTACCTCCCACTACAGAATACTGGCCACCTTTTCCACAGTGCAGTAAAAATCAAGCAAAGGTCACTTGTGTACGACCCACATAATTATGTATGTATGCATACACATTGTGCTAATTCATTCATTAGAGGTACAAATAGGCCAAAGAAAAGCCCACAGCCTCTCCCAGGAACATCCTCTCACAGAGACAAGACTGTGACCCCATCCAACCTAACAACACTACAGCAGTCCCGCTGTGAATATGGTAACCCGGCAGTTCAGACGACTAGCTAGGTAGGCTCGCTTTCCTTGTGATATATACACACTCCCAAGCGCCACCCATTGTATTATGGTTGGATATCGAGTTGGTGAAGGAGGGATCCACACTACACACTATGTACAGGTGAATGTACAGTTGTACATTACATTATTGTACTCTACATGTTTGTGGGTCTCTGTTGTCTTTTCTTATATACCTCTGTGTATTTAAGTCCAAGCCATTGCCCACACAGTACTATATAGTACCCACATTAATCCTAGCAAATACAGTCCGAACAATACTGTACGTGAGTGTGTAATGATTACAGTTGAAAGAGGTGTGATCACATTACTCAGTAAAAGCCCCGCAATTGCATCTGCAGTTAAGTTGCTGCCGAGTCAAAGAAGGAATTGAAGACAATCAGCAAATTCCGCCATAAGGGCGCCACTGAGCAGTACATTACATAGTGCACATACATAAGTTACGTAACATAGTAGCCGCATACGTTTGCAGAGACCGCGATAAAAATGCACAACTGTCTGAATAACTGGCAAGGATCCACACTACCTGAGACAGGGATCCAACCAGAGGGCCCACAATGGATAATTAAGTTAGTGGGCTGGGTCTACAGCACACAGCCTGGGGGCATATCTAGTGAGTACTGTGCTGGATTTATGATAAGGAATGCTTTGATAATACTAACAACTATGCACAAAGTGTGCACTCTCTGTAGCCAACTGGGCTAGACAAACCGGTGATACTGATACTAAGAAAAGTCACTCATATGTATTATAATCAACTGCTCTGATGTGGTATATTGGCCTTCACTATACACTACACACAGTACGTATACAGTCCATGCACTAGATACTGTAGATGTGTTATACGCACGCATGAACCAATAGAGGATCAATTTACACAGCTCTGATGTGTGTTCCACGTGGGCCTTATACAATCAGTCACATAATTACGTAACGCTCTAAAGTTCAATGGCTCCATGCACGAGCCAATAAATGTAATAAGTGGAATTCAGTTGTATTATGAGTTCTCCCCCACTAATGAGGAAACTGGTTTTACCTTTGAGATATGAAGATAGCTGAGGCAGAGCCGAGCGGACTGGGAAGAAGGCTAGAGTAGTGCTCTCTTCGGATGAACACCTTCTCTGACCATGAACCACTGGCACCCTGGTAGAGAAACGTGCACATTGACAGCTTGGGACACCATTAGTGCTATACATTTTAGCCTAGCAAGCCTTATGTTTAAGGGAATGTTGAAGATCTAAAAACAGAAAGTTAAGACAAAAGGTGTCACTATTAGAGGGGTATCCCCATTTCTGGGTTTCATTAGAGAATGGTTCCACTATAGAGTTTCCTTAGAGAAGGGTTCCAGTGCACTTTATAGTGAGCCAACTCACCTGAAGACAGTTCCGGAAGACTCCTCCCCCCACCACCTCATCCCCACACACAGTTTGGAGGCAGGGGGACCCACAGAGTACTCCCAGTGTATGGCTGGGAGACACACCCTCACGTAGGCCCGCAGTGGTCCCTGGACCCGGGGAGGGAGAGATGTGTGTACTGTGGCCTCCAGCTGCCTTCCTCCACCACCTATCAGACACACACAGACGAGGCACAGTCAAACACTCTAAATTTCTGCTGGTGCAATTTTTCATGCACGGTCGATTATTTATGAGTTGAGTGTGCTTTATTTAGAAACGAGGTTCACCTCGCGTCTTTCCTCCTCTCGTCATACTGTTCTTTCTTGTTCCGAGCACTCACTTCCAGAGATACTACGGTAGCGCCACAGGTCTCATAAAAGTCGGAGGACGAATGGCGCAAACACTGACTCACAGGGCGAAAGTTTTCTCTGCAGAATTTTATTTCGCGCGCTTTTACCCCGTTAATTCGCCGCGCAGCGGCCGGCCAGCCTACTAATTAGTTGCGCGGAGGCGGCAGAGAAAAGCTGATCTCGATCTCGTCCAGATCCAGTCCAGATGCAGTGGAGCTTCGCTTTCAACTAGCGCTGAGTCAGCGGCGCCCTAGCTGGCACAGTCCCACGTCCTCAGCAGCGACGGGGTCAACGATGCGACCTCCGGCTAGCTATAGATAGCTATGAGATTCTTACAGCGAGCAATGGGCAGCTAGAACTCGTTTGAGATCTCCGTCTATCAGCTAAGAAAGAGGTAGCTAGCTGCGAGGAGCAGTACTATGGCTGTGTTTTTGCTTTGGTCAAAGCGTATGGACTTGACATGGAGTGTGTTCGTATTGACGGTGCTGGCTGTACATTCTATGGCCGTGAGGTGGAACTTAGCTCTGGCTAGCCCAGACACTGTGGAACAGGCGTACAGCAGTACCCGAGGTACAGTAGGTAATCAAGTTTCCTGCCTCGTCATGTGTGCAAGACACGTGTGTTTATGTAACAGTGTTTACTGGTGCTGAATATTGGCGTTTTAGTATTGGCTGAACCCTTCTAATCACTGCAACCAATCACTGGTAACTTGATGTATTATACTTTGAAAGATCTTTGGTATAATATTGTAAACTTCAGTGTGCGTGTAAAACAGAAGCCAAGACAGCTGAGCTGCAGCCCACAGTGTTATTACAGCTGAGTGGGCCCTCGAAACTGCCCCTTTATGGCTCCTATTGATTACATACTGTGTTTCAGTTCACCTCAAGCACAGCATACCATTGGGCCTCTATTGCATGCCCAGAGGGAGTAATTAGTGTGTGTTAGAATCACTTCACCTCAAGCACAGCGTACATAATATGGGGCACTTGTTACAGTACAGTTCTGTATGGAGCCTCCCCGAATAAGGCATGCCTGGCGTATGTTGAGACTCGTCCGTGGTGATTGTTCCCTTCCCCGTGCCATCCGTGTGTACACAACCTGACTGGGTCCAGCTTGCACCATATGCTGTACATACATACTCACAGATCTTACCCCCTGACTAGCCGCTCTTTCTTTGAATCATGCCCACACAAGACTTTCAGTTTCATGTCCAACTTTGCACTAAAACCCGGTGTCTTCTTTCATAAAACCATTAGCACGAAACTTGTCATCTCAAAGTATTATACTGAATACCAGAAAGAAAACTTGCTTTTTGCTATAATATAATATTCATATGGTTCCTACTCATAAACTTTCTTACAAAATACTTCGCAGAACAAACTCTCAAAATTTATCCCGTGAAAATATTGCCCATTCCGGTGAAATTTGTGAGTTTTCACCTTTCAAATCGGAGCCCCTCCCTCCTGCTATATACTCCCTCAGTGTGTAAACTGGGCTCTACATTTACGGTGAATGGGCACATTGTCCTCCCCCTACAGAGCTGAGAGGAACTACCGACAACAACACCAGCACTGATAACAGTGGGAGCAATGGCGGGGAAGAAAGGTCGGCCATTATCGATTCTGTGTATATACATGTCCGTTGAGTGTTCCTCCAATAAAATGCTAATCTAAAGGTGTACGATGGCCACTGTCCGCCAAAGCACCCGATAATGTAGGATAATACAACACAGTCTCCACCATTGTGTATTGTATATATATTCTGTGGATAGTATCTTTTGTCTCTGCCAATGTACACGGAAGAATGCAGCTCTTTGTTGGCAGTAACTAAGTATGCATTCAAAATCCGTCTATGTATATAGTGCCGATTCACAGGCCAGGTGGCCTTTATAGCTGCCGGGCTGAATGGAACTGTACTGACTTTGCTCAAGGGTCTAATAAAACACCGCTTGTACGTTGTGCTCAAGGCAAGCCGTGGTTAGGTCAGAGTGAAAACACACTTAGGAGCGCTGCATACCTAGACAGCTGAGCTGCAGGCAAGAGCTGGGCGAGTATCGACTGGTCCAAGCCACACTTCATTGCCTGCTTTTGGATATTGGCAAACAACTTGGCCGCTTTCCAGGGGCACAATGCAGCATCACTTTCACTTTTGAAGAAGAGTTTCCCATATTATAGTAAACGTCTATACACAAGGGAGTATATATATCAAGTTTGAGATAGTTGTGCAACGTGATATGCTAAGTATGCACTGCGAAATTAATTTGCTCAACACTATTAGGGAGCTTTGCTCAGTTATGCTACCGTACATGCACTTCTACCTTTTTGGCTCTGTGTAATGATAATACACTCATGCAGTGGAAGGCTTTTGTGAACTATAGCCATACCGTGTGGGTAATTAACTGGCGGAATGTAATGACTCTTTACCAGTTGCTCGGGAAAACCAGTCACCTGCCAAAGAATATGTGTGGCACCATGCATACACACACAAACACACACATAAGTGGGCGCAATGTATGTGTGGCCCCGCTGGAGGGTCTAATTTGCATTTCTTTGTCAAAATGTTTACATTTTTGAATTGTCTCATTGGCCTAATAATGCTAGTTGGATGTGAATTCATCATAATTCGGCGTTCCTCTAGTCCTAATGTGATTAATTTGTCGATATTTGGCCCCAGACGAGTCATTTTCTGGCTGAACTTCGACTGGCATTAGCCCTCACCTCGGTTCAGGCTACTGAACTGCCCATGAGGCAAACAAAGATTGTACGCGTGAAAAGTTCGATAATTTGGCATCGCTTGTCTAGCTTCAGGTCCTTCCTTCAAGCTGGCACAAACAAAAAAATTGTGGGGAATGTATATATATACTTAGAGTGTTTGCTGAGTCATAAAGATGTTTGGATTATATATATCTCCCTCTGGCTGGAATATTGTTTCTATTGATCTGCTAATGTTGAGGCTATTTCCTACTGTTAGTGCTCTAGGCTGGGTTATTGTTGAATTGGCAAATAGACTAGACCCACTGACCACAGCTGGAAGTATACTGCCAGGATTTCAGCTCATAAAGCCTACGAATAATTAGTACAGAGCAGTCAAGTGCCCTCTAACAAGGTGTACGGGGCTTACTTGGAGTGTTCAAACAGATAATCTCCACCGGTGGACATAAAAAATTGGAGGAAGCCGACTTTATTAACTATCGTAAACCACTTGAGCTGTTTACGTGTGTTTCACAGATTATGACTTGACTTACGTAATTATGTAATAGTGCAATGTGTACAAACATGAGTTGTGCACCCAAAATGCACGCACACACAAATGTATATAAGTGAGTTGGACTGGCTGGGGCGTCACTGGTACATGTTCATCGTGTTCCTGGTGATGGTCATCGTCGTGTTTGTCCTGCTGTGTGGCTGTCTCTTGCGACGAGGCAGGCTCAGCTCTGCTGACTACCCTCTCCACATCAACCAGAATGGGTGAGCACTAGCAGGGAATTTGTCTTTCTGTCTGAAAAGCTATTGTTAAACAGCGGGGAAAAACATTGCGCATGCTCGTTTTCGGGCCACATGCATACACTTTACCTGGCAGACTCTGCAAACAGATGTAGGTAAGCTTAGTGTGCTGTTCTGTGTAGCTCCCCTTATTATTACCATTATGCTTGACTTTACCTATTATGCTCAAAGCTACCCCAATGTACACAAACCTTCAGTAGTCTACTGTGTGGATTATATATAATTGAATCACGTTTAAACCGCACTTGTGAACCCACAACCACCTCAGGGGTTCATAGGGGTGCTTGGCTTCACTTCAAGCAAGAATTTACTTACGGAAGAGCGTATTATGTACTTCACACCTTCCCTTACTAACTGCATTTTATGTGTGCTCTTGGTTCAATAATTGGTTCTTACATACTTGTATATGGGTGGTAGTAAATAAGTTGTTGCCAGTCTGCAAAAGCTCTTCTATGCGCCTTGTATCAATGTAAAGGACACCTCTAGATACTGGTACAGATACATGCACATTTCATCAATGTAAAGGACACCTCTAGATACTGGTACAGATACATGCACATTTCATCAATGTAAAGGACACCTCTAGATACTGGTACAGATACATGCACATTTCATCAATGTAAAGGACACCTCTATACATACATTACAGATAGCACGTGTCCACAAACACACATCTCATTCTCTCAACAGCAGCCGCTATACTCCGCACACCAATGCTCTTCACCCTCCACTGCTCACGGACTCACAATCTCTTCAGCCAGTTACCCACCAGCACACACCTGCCGGCAGCTCAGCCCACACCGAATCCAGATACACAGATACATCCTTCACGGCTCCCCCTCTCTCCTCTGCCCCCATCAGAGCAGGCGGTCCCTTACTGCCAGCCACCTCTCGATCGAACCCTCCCCCCATCTCATCCAGTGAGTCACCCTGGTCCTTCATCCAGATTGTCGCTAAGGACAGGGGCTCCTTGAGAGTGGGGGACACGAGCGACGCCACGAGGGAGGAAAGGAGGAGGAGAGGATCACGGCAGAAGTCACATCATCACCACCGTCACTATTCTCGCGATCATCACCATGGGCACCACTCCCCAAACTACTGGCAGAGGAGACAGCGCCACAAGTATCTCACCAACCCTCTGGCCAAGGTGAGCAGCAAAGTTTTACCAACTGTATAAAGTCTTCCTACTACCCATGCCAATAGAGTAGAGAAGTGTCTCCAAGTATATACAATCACGTATCCAGAGGTTTAATAGAACCCTCTACTTTGTGCAAGCCTCCATAGGCATGTACTGTTTAGATATCAATAGAATACGTCTGTTCTTGTTCTAGTTGAACTTTCTGCTAACAGTGTCAATCTAGTGGTTCAATCAATATTTGCAGTTAAGGAGCTAGTCTTTCTCACATTATTTTGTGCATGAAATTATAGTTCATAGCATACCAGCCATAGGTATGAAAGATGTGTCATCAGTCCTCTATAATAGCAAAGCCTGTGTCAGACACGTGATGAGGGGATATTTGCAGTGGGCTTAATCCCCCTTTACAGAGGCTGGCTCTGGGCCTAGTCTAAGTTGTATTTGCATCATCTCTGGCTGTTTTTTCCTGGAAGTATGACATTGCCGCATGCTCAACCTCACGATCACTTCCAGTTAGTGGGTATTTACATAAACAAACCCAATTGCCGGGAATTTTCTATACTGGTGATCTGTATAATATTATAGCAATGTATGAAAATACTAATGCATGCTTACAGCCACTGTCTCTAAGACTTTAATGAGAGCTTTGTGAATGAGTCTTAATCCATTTGCCCTACCGCATGGTAATAGTGGTGGTGGTTTTATATCGATGCTCAGTACCTACCATATACCATGCAGTACCGTTACAGGAGGAGGTGTAGAACTTTAAACTTTCACACGAATTTTGTGATATTGCGAATACAGGTGTATTCACAACCGATAATATTGCGAATGTATTTTCGCTGCTACTTTTGTTTTAGTGTGCCATATGCACAGGCATTAATTCTGCAATTCGCAAAAAGTTGTTTCTATCTGCCTATGTATGTATCTGCACACAACGCTCACCCTTCACACCCTATATGTGATATAGACACTACATATGTTGAATGTGGGTATGTATATTACGTCACAACAGGTAAATGGAGTGCTGGATGACAGTGGGGCTTCCCTGTGCTCCGTTCCCTCCACATCGGGCTCCGTGCCGTCTGACCAGTCCTCAAACCGGTCTGACCACTCCAGCTGCTCTCGCTCGCAAAATTCCACCGTCGTTGAGGTCAGTACGCTACTGTATATGTACCATTGGTGCAAATAGTAGCAGGTTCAAATCCTACCAGTGAGCTTATAAACAGTTGCGATTGATCTGTACTCTGTTAATAGGTGAATGTGAATGTTCGCCTGAGTCCTGACCAGTTGGATAGGTCAAAGGCCGTCGCCATGGCAGCCCTGGCAGAGTCGGCAAGACAACTTGCTGAGTCAGCAGCTAACTTGGGCTTCTCCAACGAGGTTTGCCTCTCAAAAATGATGAAGACAGGTTTAAGATTACCATAATATTCTGCAGGTGCAAACGTGTACCAGGTCCCTCTCTCACTCCCCGTACCCCCGCCCACGTCAATCCCACCGTCACCCTCGTCACTCAGTCACAGGAGCACCCCTCACCACCTCACACCCTCCACCCTCCCTAGATCACGGCAGTCCCATATTTCACTGCCATTCTTCCTCCCACCTCCCCCCTCTCTCCCCCTCCCTTCGCCTCGCCGGAGACCCACGCTCATCCTCTCCCCATTCTCGAATGGAGAGAAAGTGTTCCCATCACTATAGCCCCTCGTCTCTGCTCATGACTAGTACAGGAGGACGTACCACAGAGGACGAAGGGACAGTTGTTAGTTTGGATCACCACTCTTCGTCTTCCAGCTGCCACTGCTCCTCCATGGTCGTCCACGAACAGGGTCAGAGGTCAGTTTTAACCCAGTCCCCACTAGGAAAGGCGGGAGACACGGTAGTGAATTTGGATCGGTATTCGAGTGCCGGTGCTCATGATAGCGATGCTGATGTAACAGTAGTCAGTCTGGATCGAACCGAGCGTTCAACTGCAGTAGATTACCACCACAACCTCAGATCTATGAATTACGACCTCCACGGACTACCTGCAACTGATGTCAGCAACTCTGTATGTCACCTTGAAGGTGGCAGAGATCCTCCAAACACTAGTCCTGACCCTAGCAGCCGCTCTCACAAATCAAGATTTCAATCGCAACCCACAGCTCACCTTAATCTAGACAGTCAAATAGAGGGCACCCCCTCGTTAAAACAGGGACCCCGATTAGCTACTCACAGGGACGATCGCCACGTCATGAATGGATTTTCCTACCATCCCCACGTGTCTCTACAGGCATACCCTCAAAGCCCCAACCTATCTCTTCGCCAGCAACTCCAGAACATCAGCGAGCAGGGAGAGAGCGAATGTGTCCACTCGACTGATAACTTTGAGCTTGGAGACAACAGTTTCGTCCACTACGACAGAGGCAAGACAGGGGAGGTTTCTGGGGGTCTGAGAAAGTTAGCAGAACCCGATCTGCTGCTAGGAGTCAAGAAAATGACGAGAGAGAGTGA